CTTGTCAAGTGGCATAGCCAGCTGGGCACACAACTCTGATATGCAGATCATAATGCTTGTGAACAGATAAAATGAATTACAATGAGCTAGGCCCATCATATTTCAACTCTCTAATGGGTAGGAAGGTCCCTCTTTCTTCCCAAGCACTGTCCAAATGTCTCTTCTTAGAGTCAACTTGAGGCCACTTAAGGCCCTGAAATCTGTGCAGCATCTCATTAGCAAATAAGTCTGGAGCCAGCTCAAAGGTCTTAAAATCACCCTAAGAATAGGATAGGAAAGTAATCCCAAAATAATGTTGATTGTCAGGCTGCTTAATATTTACATACATTATTTCATTTCAATCCTTGCTAGTCAAGTAAGAAAACCTTTGCACTTTTAACATGTGGAAACTGAGGAACAAACGAGGTTAAGCTTTGTCCAGGTAAATCCAAGAAACTAATCGGAGTCTACCGCACATTACTAATTCCCATGCTCTTAATGCTTTCTGCCCAACATCTCAGGAGCAATGAAAACAACGGGAGATGTTGAGACTTTTTGTTCTCTCAGTAAAATACATGTTTATTATATGAATACATGCTTGGGAATCTGCTATCCTTACTCAGTTGAAAATAAGATTTCACAAATGGAAAAGCTTATTTGCAAGGAAACTGGCCTGTTTAGGGGCAAAAAGGACACTAGAACAGTGTTTCCTATTTCAGAACTTAGAGAATAATGGGAAATAGATGCATTTCCAAATCAGGGGGAAGGACAAAGGAATCAGAGGAATCTAAAACTGCCACAAAGCACTCAAATATGCAAGCCAATAACATGTGTCAGAGGGAAAAGTGACTGGTAGTCTCTACTTGCTTTCTGAAGGTAGTATGTTAAGGGTAGGTTCTTCACAATCTCATCTTGGGGAAAGCTGCCTATAGCTCTGGTTTCATTATGAATTTATCTGCAATACCACTGCCTCTAGCAGAACATCAACCACCCCATCTGGCTGTTTGCAGAGCAACGATTCTTAGTACTACACACTACTACTTCAACAGTAAATGCCAACGCTAGCATGCTAGCAAACAAACTAAACTAAAACAGCTGTATGGAGTTTACCCAGACAGTCAAATGTTTATGCATCCCTCCACGCCTCATTCATCAACTCTGTGTCACATGCCATGCTAGATAACTCTTCTTCACCAGAACAGCATCTCTGGAGCTAATGAAATCCCAGTGGTCTGCCTCCATGACGAATAATGCTCACAATACCAAAGCATGGAACCTGCACCCGTTACACAATAGGTGCCCTGTTAGGGCCAGTCATGAAACCACCAGGACTCTGGGCAACAGTTCTTAACCCTGGTTGCATAGTAGTCACCTCAGAAGCTCAAAGATCACATCAACGCCTGGGCTTTTCCCCAGACCAACAACATTTGATCTGTGAAGGTCAAGCTCAGCATGGATGGTCGTTACTCTTGTTTTTAATTTGTGTGCATGTGAGTGTTCACGTATGTGCTTTTCTGTGTACATTTACATCAGGTGCTCTTATATGTGCATAGAGACTGCAGGTTGGTATTAGGCATCTTCCTCAATTGTCTTCCAACTTTTGAGACAGAGTCTAGGGCTCCCTGATTTGTCTAGAGTGTCTGACTAGCAAACTCCAGGAATCTTCTTGTCTCTGCCTCCCCAGTGCTGAAATTATAGATGCATATTGTGGTGCCTAGCTTAGAGAGAGAGAGAGAGAGAGAGAGAGAGAGAGAGAGAGAGAGAGAGAGAGAGGGAGAGAGAGAGAAGGAAGAAAGGAAGAAAAGAAGAGAAAGGAAAGGAAGAGAAAAAAAATGAGTGCTAGAAATCAAACTCAGGTCCAGTGCTTATACAGCAAGTACTTTAACAATTAAGCCTTCTCCCTTAGTGCCTATGAATACATTTCTTAAGGCTTCTCAGATGACTCCCAAGTAGTCAGGGTTGAAAACTACCACCAAACTGAAGTATTTCTAGAGAGAACCTACAAATTTATTGAATGTTATAACAACCACAAAAATCTCCCTCCTGCCCCTTTCACTTGCCAAATGACACATTCATACAGTCTTACTTTAAATTAGGTCTCATTATTTATTTGCTTATAGTGAAATGCTAAACTACAATACTTGAGGTCACTCACCACACCTTAGTGGCCTCAGCTTATTCTGAAATCCCAAGCTGTATGGTTTTGAGGTGGCCGTGTTCAGATGCTGAAGGCGAGCAGAGTGCAGATGACACTGTCCAGCAAGGAAGGAGCTCGGCTCAGATCCCTGACAGGAGGCACCCTTCAGAGCCCAGGCATGATTATCAGACTCTTTGTGCTCTTAAAGGAGAGTAATTATAGGCATGTGAAAAAAGGGAAGCACTCCCCGAGGAACTCTTCCTCACATGCTTCCCAAGAGGCATGAGGGCCATTAAAAATTCCATGATGAAGAGGAAAAACAGCCTGGGAACAGCCAGGAGGCAATACAGCAAATTAATACAGCAGCCCTCCTCAGGGAAAGCTGTGATAAAACAGGAAACACTTCTCTCTTTGCAAAATAAAATTATACCACTAATGATAACACAGTCACCACACACGCGCACAAATCGTTCTAATGATGGGTGTAAAATTCCCAGTGCTGCCCAGATGCTTTGAAAGACATTTCTTCTTACTACAAATAAAACGGGACAAGGAAAAGATAAAATCTCCATCGAAACACTTTTTAATGCAGTCATTCAGCTGCCTCCTCTCCAGCACTCTGCTTCCTTGCACCTTCTCGATGCAAGGCTTTTGCTAAATGGACCACTCTTCTTAAAACGCATGGTTCCAGAACCCACTGTACACGTGCCCCAAAGTAGAGTTAGACAGGCCCTGTTCCAGTGACCCTGCTGCATGAGGACCCCATCACTCTAAAGGGTTGAGAGCTATCCCTAAGATCTCAGTGTCTCTCACTCATATTTTCTGAAACCTGCAATGAGGATACCTGCTCTGCTCATTCCATAGAGTAGCACCTTCCAGATCTTCTTGTGTTTTTCACTAGGTGAAAACTGCGAAGGAACAGGAGAGAGTATACATACAACACACACAGAATGTGCATACTTGTGGTACTAGGCCAAACAGAGATACAATTTAAAACAAAGAAAAAATTTTAAGGATAAAATAATGAATGCTAACTCAAACATTTTTCCTCCAACTTCAAAGAAACTATCCAGCCTACTAATTTACGACTGCTACCTAAAGACAAGACAAAGACAACTAGTAATCACCACCATCCTCTCTCTTTTGCTTCTAGCAAGAGTTCAAAACAACAGCAGCACTCCCCTGAGCTGCGGGCACTAGAAATTTTCTTAATGTTTCCAGGACAAGCAATACATGCCAGTCAAGAGAGCAACAATAACGACAGAATAACAGGGTGCATAAGTATCATGAATCGAGTTCTGGGTACTGGCCACAGGAAGGCTTCTAATGGAAGAAGAGAGCAATGCTGATGTTGCCCTAAGTACAGTTCAGGTAGCAGACATGGAGGAAGGAGAGCAGAGGAATCCACTCTGTGCACTGGATTTATGTGGTACTGTTCATCTGTCTTCCCATAGAACATGCATAACTACTACTTTATTATCAAGACAAAACAGAGGCATGTTCTTCTTTGGACTGCGATCTAGAAAACCTCCCATGGGCCTGTATTAGGAGACCCACCGCTGTGTGTTGGGGGGGGGGGGGAGCTTTAATCATAGCTGTCAGTTTCCATATCTGACTTTCTCTAGAGAGCTTCAGTTCTAAACTAAAAGCCTTGCACACAGTAGGGAGTCAACAAATGCTGAATGAATGAATGATAAACACATAGCATGATATTGGAGTAAAGGCCTACAGTGGAAGTTTGTATCACCTCCCAATTCCACACTCTTAGCAACACTAAGATCTAGCAGTAGGTTATGCATCAGGGCTCATTATCCTAACTCTTTGTAACTATGTACAAGGAAGAGCTACTTCTTTGTGCAGCTACAGCACAAGTCTATGAGCTCACTTACTTAAGAGCTGACTAATAAAAAAAGCATCAGAAGCTGGGTGTAGTGCCATATCCTTTAATCCCAGCACTTGTGAGGCAGAGGCAGGCAGATCTGTGAGTTCAGGGCCAGGCTGGTCTACATAGTTCCAGGACAATCTACACAGTGAAAGTGGTAGCCTGTCTTAGAAAACAAAACAAACAAAAAACAAAACAAAAGGCATCAGGACCTTGGGAAAGAAATTCTTCATGCTACTAAAAATAACAAGACTGTTAGCTGTTCTATGCACAATAACACTGCTAAGAAATGCTATCATCAAGCCATACCCACTTCCTTGTCACCTGAATTAAGAGAATCCATAATGAGAAATGTGATACATACATAAAGAAAACCTAACAAGTGCCAGGTGCACATGCTGAGATTTATCAGGGAATTTAGACAAGGTTTCTGCACCCTAGAGAAGACAATGGGGTAGGGATAGAATTTTAAATAAATTAGTTCACATATTCACTACAGACAACGGTAAGAATTAGGGAGGAAACAAACAGAGTAACCAGATGGTGCTGCAGATGACCCCTTAGTTATCCAGGGGTTCAAAGAGGATTCCAGACAATGAGAACGAGAGCAAAGGTCCAAGGCAGGAAAGGCTGCCATTTTTAAAGAAGAAAATGAAGCTCCCTAGTACTGTTAATCTTTCCGCTCCGAGAATGGACGGAACTGTATGAAAGGAAGCTGGCCATGTTGGCAGAAATCAGATTATGCAGGGCTTGCAGGTCATGGCAAGGGACATTAATAATGTTCTTTGAAGATGGGCTTTTAGAAGCAGAAATAATGCAAAATATGGGCCAGAAGACATATAAATTCCTCCACCCTCAGCCTGTTTCTGCATCTGTGAAACATCAACTCATCTCTGAAGGATCAAATCAGATCCTGTGCTCATATACTATATAATCTCAAGGGTTAAGAAGAAGAACACAGCATTTTCTAAAAAGAAATAATCGCTACTGGGAGTCAATTACCTGGCAGAGCAGTGTGCAGGGGAACACCTTCGATGAGAAGAGTCAGCAAGAACATCCAGGGAGTAAAGGGGGGAGAGAGGATTAAACTGTGGGGATAAATCAGACTGTTTTAGTACGGCTTCACTGAAAGAGACCTGATTCCAAAGAGCAGCCTACATGCTCTCTTTGACTATGTCCAACCCTTATACCATAAGCATTGATATCATTCAATAAAGTTGTACATTTCTAACCTTATGTCCATGATGTCCCAGCATATAGCAGACAAAATTATTTCATATCAAACAAACTTTTAAGCAATAATCACTTAAATGGCAAAATACAGTACTTCTTAATGGATAGTCCAGGAACTTTTCCTAGTGATTATCCACTAACTATCAGCCTTTTCCCAAGAGGACTAGCATGACATTGCCCTTCCAAGGACACCCCAGCACACAGTGTAAGTACAGTACAAACAGAAGGTGCCTAGACTTAAAATGCCGAGCTAACTGAATCACACTGATTTGCTTATGTTTAGAAGTTGCATCACCTCTGAATTTTGCTAGCCTCCTCTCGAGGGCCATCTTACCTGTCTTATGGGTTACTAGCAGTGCTAACTCAGGTATTGCTTTTCAGGTCATAAAGTCATTTCAGTTTCTCACCTATTGACCCTAAATGGTGACTGAGAGGGTGAGAGTGCAGCCATATATTAGCATATCATCCTTAGCACCAAAATTACAAAGCCAAACAGGAGGCTGAAGATCAAACAGGGTACTGTGCACAAAGCACCTCACTTTATGTTTGCTAGCCTTCTTTGTGCTGTTCCTGCAAACAGTCCTTTGAAAAATGGGTACCTTAATGACTTAAGTCTGAAAGAACTTGAGTGGTAACTTCAAACAGTTTAAAAAACAAAAACAAAAACAGAAACTTAGCTAGTCCACACAGCTTTGCAACTTCAGGAAAATAGTAGAAACCCACGATGCACTGTTCCTCACTTATACATAAGGGATGTGGAGCAAATGATGGGCGTAAGTCCTGCCTTTGCATGCTCTGAAGCAAATACAATCCACACTCTACTTTAACAGTCCCCAAATCTCTTGCATGCCACCTCATGACCCGTTCTTTATCTGCCTACCACCTGTATTACACCAGTTTCTTAAACTCAGCTTTATCCTGTTTCCACAAGATAAGTCTGACACAGTTACATTTTTTTTCTAATGCATTTATTAATATATAACTTAAAATACATAAACTAAAACCATCTCATAAACACACACTGGTTTTATCTTCCACTGTTCTAGTTCATTGTGAAACAAAAACTTCCCAGTGAACTTTGCAAATATAAACTGTGTAACATAATAAAATGCTAAGTAACCCCAAAATAACCAACCAGTCAACCAAAGAGCAAGAGGAAGCCTGAGAAATTTTGCCCATCAGTTTTCATCAATTTCACAGCTAAGAACTACCCTCACCTCTAAGCTAAAAGGGTTTCAAACATATATAAACCTAACAAGAACGACTGTGAGTCACTTTTAAATCATAGACCCACTCAAGGTCTGAGTATAGTAAGGCCTCCACAAAGGAAAAGGAAAAGACAAAGAGGAAAGGCTCTAAGGCCGTGATCACTTCCCCAGAAGGAGCTCAACCTCTGCATCCTGTGCTCAGAAGTCACAGCACAGGATTCGCATGGCAAACTAAACCAGAGACATGAGACTCACTTTATATTTCTTTTTTTTAATTTATTTATTTCTTTATTAATTAATTAAAGATTTCTGTCTCTTCCCCACCGCCGCCTCCCCCCCCCCACTTTATATTTCTAATCAAAGTTCAAAACTAAAGCAATGGGCTCAAGGGTTAAGAGCAAACACTGCTCTTCCAGAAGACTCGAGTTTGGTTCTCATTAGCACTCATGTCAGGCAGCTCCCAACTGTCTGTAACTCCAGCTCCAGCAGATCGGACGCCCTCTGGCCTCTGAAGGCACCTGCGCTTACATGTACATTTATCCACATGGACACATAAGTGTGTTACTACTAAGAAGCTGACAAATTCAGCTGAATCTAATCTAATCTAACTGGCCACAGTTCTTACAGGTGAGCAAGGGCAGTCTTGGAACACAGCTCTCAAAAAAGTCAAGAGTGATCAGTAAGTGATCTTACTCACCTCATGTGCACAAGCAGAAATGGGAGGAAAATCAGAAGCCAATGCTTTATTCTTTCTAAAGAAAAGGAAATTGAATGATAAAAGATGACCCAAAAAAGTTATCTTACCTGCTTTCGTTCTCTTTTCCCAGCTGATGGTAACCAGAAACTAAAGAGAGAATAACAGGAAAGAAAACAATGAAAGAAGTGATAGGAAAAGTATGAGGGAAGAAGGTAAAAGGTGGGATACTCAAGTGAAGACAAAGAAGGAACTGGGCGGGAAGCAGCTGAAGAAGGACACCAGCTAGGTGTGAACGAGTCTCCTGAAGTGACTCTTCAGTGGAGAAGGCGGACAAGGGACAGTAACTAAGACAACAGCCTTATCTCAGCTGGGCAGTGAGAAAAAGACGTTAGATATGTACAGGACTGCCCTTGGGCACTGACCATAATGATTAAGGAATAAATTATACAAGTTCTTTACCATATACAAATATGGGGCACTTATTTTTACATGGGTAGTTGTATATGATATGTGTGCATGTGTGTATGTGTGAAGGCAGGAGTGTAAGTTCACAAGAGCACTTATGTGTGTGAAGGTCAGAGGTTAATGGCTGATGTCTTCCTGGCTTACTCTCCACTTCATTTATTGAGGCAAGGTCTCTCATTGAACCTAGAGTTCCCTGGGATCTACTTCTCAAGTGCCGATATTACAAGCAGACCTACCACATCTGTCTGCTTCTTCATGTGGGTGTTGGGGATCCCAACTCTGGTCCTTATGCTTGATCCCTGAGCCATCTCTCCAGCCCCAACATGTATGTATTTACTCAGCAGATATTCAAATTTTTGCCAAGGAAGACCCGCAGGAAGGCAAAGCACACAGCACAGCCAACCGTTTAGGAGACGAAGCAAGGCAAATGATTCCTGTGTAGCTACAGTCATGTTTCCGACTGCATTCACCATAGTAACAGGGACAGAAATAGTTCTCCTTAAAGAGGTCTGAAGGAGAACAGAAGCAATCAGACATTTGGAATGACCATTAAAAAAATTAGGAGAGAAAAATGCATTTAAATATTGTATCTAGTGGTGGACTCATAGTACCTAGAAATATAACAGGCAACAAAGTAAAAAAAAATATTCTAGAAAGGAGGAAGAAATAACTGTCATCTTAAAAAATTTTTAATTATTGTGTGTGCCACAGCACACTTGGGAGGGTCAGAGGACAACTCTGTGGAGTTGGTTCTTCCCTTCCACCTTAGCGTAGGTCTGGGGATTAAACAACAACAGGTGGCAAGCACTTTTAGCCACAAGCCATCTTGCTGGCCTGACTTCATCCATCTTAACTGTGAGGAAATATCAATCTTTAAGATCCCCTCTTTTGGTTCTGAAGCCTAATAGAAAGATTGCTTTATAAAAAGCCTTCTCTACCGCTTTCTCCAAGGACCAGGCTAGGACAGCCAGTAGGCACTTACTCTTTCTGGCCAGGGTCACTGATGATATGGCTTATCCTCTCGGTTCCTAGACTGCTTAGGCTGGTCTCCTAAAAGGATAAGAACAAGAGTGTCGTCAAACCACAGAAGCAAATATATACATTTTAAGTTGTCGCCAAGCTTAATTTTTTTCTAACTATGCCAGCCAATAAGGTTGTGTCAATCTTAAAATCCAACAGCAACTATTTTTTTAATGTGAGTCCATCTTAGAAGAATCATCTATTATCTAGCTAGTTTCTGCTGACTCAAAACAACTTAAAAAGCCATTATAAATACTGTTTGTTGGACTTGGGATTCTTTCCTATTTTAAATTTAGTTTTGTATAAGCGTGTGTGCCGGTACACATGTGGGCAGGCATAAGCGTGTGCATGAATGGCTGAGGTGCTATTCTTCGGGCATTGTCTACATTGTTTTGAGACAGTCTCTTGTGGCCTGAGCTTACCAAGAAGACTAAGCTGTCTGATCAGTGAGCCTCAGAGACCTTCCTGCCTCCTCCTCCCCAGTACTGGGATTACAAGCATGCCACCGCACCTGAGGTTTTTTCCCACATGGTTCTGGGAAACAAACTCAAGTCCTCTGCAAGCACTTCGTCAGCTTGAGCTTTCTCTCCAGCTGTTTATTTTTTAATTAACACATAAGTGAAATATAAATATAATACCAAGTAATGTTTTAGCATGTGTATGTGCTGTTTATTGTTTAGATGTGTATGCAATTTTAATATAGTAATACTTCCTGGAGTACTAGTATAATAATTATAACAATGGAACAATAATATTTCCTAGAGTACTAGAGTATAAAGAAGCAGAAAAACCTTTTTGGAAGATTCAACACCATTTATTTATTTATCTATGAGGCACGGTTTCACTGTGTGGCTAATGCTGGTCTCCAACTCCTGCTCCAGCTTCCCGAGTGTTGAGATTGGAGTATGTGTCACCACACTCAGCAACAGGACCAGTTTTTAGCAGAAGAGCACACTAAGTTCCATGAACTATTTGAATGGGGCTCAACAAGCACCAAGAGCAAACACTGACTGAGCCCTCACTGAGTATCTGCTGAATGCATGTCTACGTGTTAAAGAACTTGTGCTACAAACAAAAGAAGCAGCCTGGCTAGATACACACGGTTCAGTGGTAGAGGGCTTGCCTAGCATGCACGAGGCTATGACACCACAAAGCACCACAAAGATTATCACTGTGTTCCGTCCCATGAACATTATTTTAAAGTAAAAGCAGAAGGCTGTATAAACTGATTCTTAAATCCAGGGCTCTCAGGACTGCAGTGTGAAAGCATACCAGGAACACCACAGCAAACCAGACATCTCCACTGGAGGGTGGCAGAAGGCACTCACCCTTCCCTAAGGAGCACATACAATGATATCTGTCATAGCAACCTGCACAGAAACAAGAGTCACACACAAGGGAAGTGCTAAGGCGAGAGGACACAAGTCACAGGCATGAGTGTCGGTGCTACTCCAACACATCTGTATCCTGGCATTTGTACTCGACTATGTGTATGCGTTAGCCTGAAGAATAGGAAACACACCTGAACAGAACCACCAGCTTTAGAAAAATTACTCTGAGGTCAGATTCTAACATGGGTGGCGCTAAGGGGAAGGTCACACATTACATCCTTCGTATTTCTCACCTCTCTGGCTATGCCTCCAGATCAGACACAGAATGTAGAGAGGCCAAGGGGAGAGATGGGTGAATAATGAGCTATTGTTATAGCAGAAAAATTATTAACTTAAAATGCCGTAATATTTAGATTTATAGTTTATTACTGTGTAAATTACAAGCAGTACTTTGTGTAATTAGCAGCTCGCTGGCAAGGAGCTGCGAATGAAACTCATTATTTATGATCATTGTTTGGAGGAGAAGAGAGGGACTGGAGAGGGGCATGGAGAACAGAGCAATGACCTCTGCAAGAAATGACTGCTCTCCCTTTAAGGTGATGAGGACCAATTTTAAAAGTACATCTCACGCTATTTGCTTGAGATCATTAGCTCTTGTCCAATAAACCCTAGGTTCCTCTCAAGCACACTGAAGAGAGCCTTCAGGATGAACTAACGCACATCCACGGAAGCAGAAAGCGCTTCCTTTGTTGAGCGTAAAGAAAGGCAGCAGATGGTGGGGAGACCTTTACTTTACCTATCAATGGGAGGGGAAAGTAAAACCTCACTGTCTACTCTCAAGCTTCTGCCTTCCTTAACCCCATCTACACAGAAGCTCCCTGTCAAGAGTGAGCTCCCCAATCCTACAAGGGTATTGGTCCATGGTCTATACATGGAGTAAGCCAAAAGGAACATAGCGGGATTCTTCCAGTGATCAAATGTCCCTCTAGTTAGAGACTGGAATTGGAATTTAAAGGTAAGAAATAAGAATCTGGCTGGAGAGATAGCTCAGTAGGTAAAGGCACTTGCTACCAAGTCTGATGACCTGAGTTCAATCCCCAGGACCCATATGACTGAAGGAGAGAAGTGATTCCGGCAAAATGTCTTCCCAGGTAAACACACACAAAGTCATTAACCTCACCTTTTGGACCACCCCATGCCAAAAACTTCAGAAAATAGCTCTCTGGGTAGAATACAATACAAAGTAGTAGCCAGCCGATTGTGACCGACAACCACACACATGGCTTGACAAACATTGTAGCAGGCATTCTAAATGTTTGTCCAACTCTTCCTTATTACCATCTTCCCTGCCTGGCTAGGGAACCTTTGCCTTAGCCTATTTCTCAATCTCTGGAATAAAATTTGAATCAAGAGCTAGGTGCATGCCTATAATACTAGAATTCAAGAAGTTAGACAGAACACTTTCAAGTTGAAGGCCAATCTGGGACACAAAGCAAGTACCAGGACAGTCTGGACTTCATATGGAGACCCTGTCTCCAAAAGGTTAAAAAATAAAAATAAATTTAGTTCAAAAAGAATAAAGTTACCATAGGTTCAAGTCTCTATTCTGCTACTTGGATGCAAAAAAATGCCACACATTTCTTACTTCTTTGAACCTAAGCTTTTTTTGTGGGCTGAAGCAACAGTTAGGAAGATTAATGGCCCTGGCAAGCACAGAACTGAAGAAAAGCAGATGTCCCGGGCGCCAGGGAAGAGCTCTTAGACTACTGTGAAGCAGGCTTAGTGCTATTTGATATGTAAGGGAGTAGATGTACTCATTTGGTTCTGTTTGTTGTTGTTTAGCTTTCTCCTTTTAAATCAATTCCAGAATGAAAAGTCAAATTAGGAGAAAAATACATTCCTGAATTCAGGAGTTATAAAGAAGCCAAAAGAGATTTTTAAAACTTATACAATAATATAGGGTTAATCACAAGTGCAGACGAGAGAGATCAAATCAGCGGTCTATATGCAACAGAGGCGGCAGCAAGTGCTTGGTCAGAACTTTTACGAGGATAAAGTGTTTATCTTTCATGTTTGTATCCATTCAAATCCCACATAAACATTCATTCACCCTTCTTAACTCCCAGAACATTTCAGTTGGTTTCATTAACCCCAGAGAGTCCTGTGATGCCTTCAGTGTCAGTAGGGCACGCAAATCCTATGGGGACTACCACCTTCCCACAGCACTGGAGAAACCATGAGATCTGTCACCTTCCCTGCCAGCCTTCTCCGCCCCTTCCTGAGGCACCGAGCTGCAGCTCCCGGCAACCGATTCAGACGAGCATGGTATCCTGTGGAAAGAAAAGGGCCTCAGTTGTTGAACGTACAAGATCCATAAGCACAGATATTCTAACACACTGGAGCTCTTACCTCAGCATCTTCACAAGGCTTACTGTGCCCATATCTTTGTCCTGAGCAGTATGATCACAGGTGTACCACTGAGAGCAACAAACATCAACAAATACCAGATAACTGGCTAAATGGTTGATTGCTACTTCCTGAGAGTCCTACATTTACAGAGCTAAATAAATTATAAAACAGTCTTGTTCACTGTCACACATCTTAGGCAATGGCCCAGACATTCCAAAAAGTGAAATGATTTGGTCACCACATGGAGTTAACTAAAGAGAAGTGTCACCACACTTCTGTCTCCTGTTATGGGCCCTTACCACCTAATTCTGCTCCTTTAGAACTTAAATGAAGCAAAGGAACAGACACACATTTGTGTCAAAGTACACAATAATAGGATCATTAAAACAAATACATTTAAAGAAGTATTTTAAAGCCATCCACTTAAAAATGCCATAATTTCTTGCATGTGAATGCTCCTTGTAAGAACTGATCTTTCAAACTTCCAACAAGCATTCCGGAAGTATTGTGTCAGCTTTAGAGCAGGATATGCTGCGACCTGACTGATGCCAGGCTTCCTAAATGTGTCCCCAGAGTCTACATGGTTTCACTTAGTGGGAGAACCCTGAGCTTTGAGACTCACCCTTGAATCCTCTAGAATCCTGAGCCAACTCTTCAATTCAGAGAGCAATGCACTGTCAGAGGCATGCAAGTGATGGCGCAGGGCATGCTGAGTCTTCACAAAGAGAACCATAAAGTCATGACCTTGACTTTCATCTCTCCAAACTCACCTCTTTGAGCTGGCCGGGAAGGTAAAAGGAATGTGGGATCTGAGAATTTATCCAGTCCAGCGTCCATTCTTTCTACTTCAGTGCAGTGATCTGGAGCCCACTTGGGCAGAAGGTTATGGACAGTGAATCCGGGAACACATTCTCCTTCATAAAACCAATCACTTTGCTCATCATCCCCTAAAGGAAACAGATCATGCCCTGAGCTGTCATGTTAAAATCCAAACACCAGGAGGGTCTCTTATGATACTGTCAAATAAACCAAAGCACAAAAGAACCTGTCCAGTCCCTCTTGGTACACATTAAGATAAAAACTAAGGCTTCAACCTACTTCCACATGAATGCTGGACTGTTTTTCACCACTTAAATAGTAAAACCTAAGATCTAGCCTTCCAGCCCTTCAGAATCCATGTGGAAAACTCAAAAGTATGTTTTCTCTCCAGAAAACCCCAAGCTCTAACTTACAGCGAGGCAACTCACACCCAAAAGTCAGGGTGAAGCTAGCAAATGAACAGAATTTGAACTCAGAACCTGACAAAGGCCAAGTGTTTTCCATAAAAAACAAACTGCCTTCCTTACCATTATCCATCATTTAGATAAACAGAGTTCAAAGCAATGTTTCTCAATTCAAAAATCGCTGGAGAATTTTTATATATTTATATTTTATCATAATAGATCAGTAAAGAATTTATGCCTGAAGGAAAAGGAGAGGGGAAAAATGTATAGCTCAATTTTAAAAAATTATGCCCACACTTTGTTTTGGTTGCTATCTCTTTGATAGGACAGAAAATCTACCAGGAAAAACTAACCAGAGAAACAAGCAATAAAGCTCTCTAAGACTTTTCAAAAGGGCCACATTGCTCATTAATGGTAAGGTCCCAACTAACCCATATATCAAACCTCTTGGTTTGAACTTCCAATTACCTACCATAACAACAGCTCAATTTCTACTAGAGTGTACTCCGGCCAACAAGACAGGAATAAAGAGGCATCTTCATGTCTGCTACCTCATCCCCTTTCCAAACCACAAGAACAAAGTAAACTATTACAACAGCATCTAAGGTTCATGAGGCCTTCAACCTCCAACATATATATGTGTGTGTGTGTATACACACACACACACACAAACACACCAGGTTCCACATGCCAAACACATGAAGCCACTAACACAAAAAATACAACTCTTAAAATTAATTAATTAAAAAATTAATGTGGAAATCCCAAGGTGGGCAATGGACCCTACATTCTGCAAATAATAGCTATTACTACCAAGTACCAAAGGAGATGCTCTTTGGTACATACTGGTGTCTCACTGCAAACAGTTGACTTGGAAACAGGGGTTCTCAAACTCCAGCAAGCATCAGAAGCACCAGAGGGGCTTGTCAAAACCAGGATGTTGGGGAAGTGAGGAGATGACAAAAGATGGGAAAGAAGATCCATGTCAGGTGACATCCAGACCACTGGGCCCTATCTACCAAAGTTTTTGATCTGAACCAAATACTAGTAAGTTCCCTCGTGAAGCTGAGCAGGTCTGGGGAGCATAATCTGAGAACAATGTGCCTCACCAGGCAGAGACAGAGGTGGACTCAGGACAGGCACTGGTAAACATGACCAGCTTCTACACACTATGACATGCTCACTCCATTCCCATCAAGAAGCATTTCTCAAGACATGACTGCAACAGATAAACGCATTAGATTATGTTTTCTGACAATGAATTAATGCAGAATGGGAATTCACTCATGATCCAATAGTAAGTTTTTTAAAAAAGGACTTGTAGCTGGGCATGGTGCCACACTCCTTTAATCCCAGCACTCAGAAGGCAGAAGCAGGAATATCTCTTGTGAGTTTGAGGACAGCCTGGTTTACATAGTTAGTTCCAAGACAGCCAGGACTATGCAGAGAGATCAAGTCTCAAAACCAAGAAGATAGATAGAAATATGGATGGATGGATGGATGGATGGATGGATGGATGGATGGATGGATGGAATGAATGGGAGAGGGAAGAGAGAGGGAGGGAGGGAGGGAGGGAGGGAGGGAGGGAGGGAGGGAGGCAAGGAGGGAGTGGGGGACTGGCTGAGGTAGAAGAGGTTTTGTGAGACTGTCAGATAAAATCCTGCCATCTTGCTTCTCTCTGCCACCCTCTCCTAGAGGCAGCCTTGGCTGTTTGATCCCAATAAACCTTTTTGTCTATGCAGAGTAGTCTAGTTTGGGGGCTTCACTGTACCCTCTCTTACACTTACCTAGGTTTATCAACTTAATTGGGGCTCTTGTATTCCAGGTAATGTATAAGGGGGCATGGTTAGAAATAATTCCTGGGGCCAAGAAGATGGCTCAGTTTTAGGATGACTTACCGTGATTAGTACCTAGGTCTGGTTCCAAGCACCTACATGGCAGCTCACAACCACCCACCAGTCTAGTTCCAGGGGGTCTTAGGAGTTTTCTGACGCCTTCAGGATCATGAGCCCTCACGTTGCACATACCCACACTCATCCACACAAGTATACACGTAATTTAAATTAAAAAATAATAAGTCTTTAAAAACACTTCTAAACTTTTACCAAGATTACCTTGCCGTCCTTCATCATTGGTGAAGAGCCCGGTGTCGCTGCTGCTGCATACACTGCTAGTTTCACTAGGAAAAAAAATACAAGAGAACTCAGCTATTCCAGTCAAAAACCATTTTCAAATGGAAACATCCCAATCGTCTCTCTAACTTCACTTCAGCCCATTCGTCAATCTGGTATGTAAATTTCACATAGAAGACACAGGTGAAGTTTACTCATCTCCCCTCCAAAGGTAAGAGAAGAATGCTAAAACTCTTGCATATTAAACTAGTTTCAATACATTTAGAGTTACTGTTATAAAAGGTCATAGGAAGCAGCAACCAATAGCTTATTCTCCTTTTCTTTCTTCTTCTGGTATGACCTATGAGGTGTGGAGGTGAGTGCAGAAGCCCTCAAATGGTTTCTACAGTTTAAAGTGGTTGGGAAAAGAACTCCAAAAATGAGTATATTCTGACATTTAGAAATTACACAGAATTCAAATTTCAATGTACATAAATAAAGTTTTATTGGAATGCACCCATGCTCATTCATTTATGTATCATCTGGGGCTTACCGACTGAAAAGGTAAGCAGATGCACCAGAGAATGGAGAGCCTACAGAGTCTTCAGATACTGCCTGTGTGGCTCATTAAAGAAAAAGCATGTGGATCCCTGTATTATAAGTTCTACCCTACGGTGAGTATGTTCCCATTGTTTTAATGTCAAAAAAATTAAGAGGTGTTTTATCGTAAGGTCTATCAAGATTCTATTAATTCAAGTCACCAGCAACACTACAACATACAATGCTTCTATGATTATTTTTACATGGAATCTATTTTATCCTTATATTCTAAATTAAAAGGGCAGGCTCTAAAAAATCTGTTGATCAAAAAATATGATAAACATTTTCTCCTACTGTGTCAATAGCATTTTAAGAGAATATTCTTGAAAGAACTTGGACTGAACTTATCTAAGAGTTTCCCATATGGAGTTTGTAATGACAATGATGTCATAAAAACATCATCAGGACTCTAAAACTATGACCAAGGGAGGTATGTATATTCTTGATTTAAAATATTATGTCTATAGAACAGTTATTCCATAAAACTATCATTATTCTACCAATGTGGAAATCAGTGTATTATCTGACGGCATTTTCTAATTCTGTATATGTTAAAAAAGAAAACAAAACATTGTTAGCTGGGTGGTGGCAGCAGTATGGCTCTTTAATCCCAGCACTCGGGGAGCAGAAGCAGGCAGATTTCAGTGAGTTTGAGGCCAGCCGGGCTACACAGAGAAACCCTGTCTTGAAAAACCAAATAGAAAAGAAAGAAATTATTTCCTAAAGACTTATTTTATTTATCATGTGTACAATGTTCTGCCTGCCTGCATATATGACTGCAAACCAGAAGAGGGCACCAGATCTTATTACAGATGGTTGTGAGCAACCATATGGTTGCTGGGAAATGAACTTGGGTCCTTTAGAAGAACAAGACAGTGCTCTTAACTACTCAGCTATCTCTCCAGGACTCAAAAAGAAAACTGTTAGTACAATTTGCTAAGAAGGAAAAAAAAGTGGGTGCTAGAAAGGCAAATATGTCCCTTCTGAACTAGGGCCAAAGGGGTCCAGTCCTACAACCCTTCTCACTCATTTCTTGCTCAGAGATTGTTTTTTTTTTTAAATTAGATTTATTTTATTTTCTGTAAATGAATGTTCTGCCTGCATGTATGTGCCTGAAACCCTCAGAGATTAGCAGAGCGTGTCAGATTCTCTGGAACCGCAGTTATGGATGGTTGTTAAGTCACCCTGTGGGCGCTGGGAACCAAACTCTGGTCCTCTTGCAAGACAAAGTGTTCTTAACTGCTGAGCCATCTCTCCATCTCTGAGATTATGACTCCTAACAAATCAAGACTGTAAGATTTCTGAATAATTTAATCAACTATAAAATGTTAAATTAACACTCATTGGAAACTAACTCATAAGAGGCTAGAGATGTAGCTGAATGGGGAGAAACCTTGTCCAGCATACATAAAACCCTGGGTTCAATCCCCAGCCCTGCACAGACCAGGTGAAGGAATGTACATGTACAATCTCAGCACTTGGAAGAGCAGGGAGGAGGACCAGAAATTCAAAGTCATCCTCTTAGCTGAGTTCAAGACACCCTATCTGAAACAAACAAACAAACAAAAAACAGTAAGAAACAAGGGGTGAGGGAGGGAAGGCACCGGTAGGCAGACAGACCAACAGGTAGGCAGGCTGCCCAGCTGAAAGCTTTTGTTTTGTTTTTGAGACAAGATCTCTCTACACAGCCCTGTCCTGAACTCGCTCTATAGACCAGGCTGTCAAAGAGATCCTCCTGCCTCTGCCTCCCTAGTCCTGGGTTAAAGACGTTCACCACCACGCCTGATTATGGTTGATACCTTTCAGTAAAAACAATTTTCTTTTAGCACCTTTGTAGACAAGCTCAAGAATGCAAGATGTCAGTGTCCTGCATATTCTTCCCCACTGCCAAGCCCTCAAATGTTTTTTCTAACTTTGTCAGGAGCCTTCTAACTAGACAAGGAAAAAAAACTGTTTCTCTTTTCTGCTGAGAGAAACTGATCACACCTCTGTAGCATCCATCTCACCTGTGGTCCTCTGAAGCTCAATAGAAAGACAGAATCTAGCCTCTGAATCTTCAGATTAAAAGGAAAATTAGCCTACAAAGAGCAGATAATGCAATGCCAACCAATTAAAGAGACAGCAGCTCAAGCAGCCTCTGTGCCTCCTGGTTTTTGCTCAGGAATTGTCCTGTCCTCCCCTCTCTCATGGGCTTATGAGATCCAAACCTACCAATGTACACACAAACTCTTCCTAGACTCGCTCTAAAATAATGGAGAGAACTACATTACTTTGCACAAAAACCCCTCAATCCAATCCTAAAGTAGGAAAACAAAAACGTTTCTAACTAACAGGAAAGTAAAAGACTCTCTCCCCATTAGCCCAGTTATATGTTTACCAGACACTGCTGGTGCCTGCACCAAGCCTAGCAAGAATCATCTCAATGGCAATTAAATGATGCCCTTGATAAATCCTCAGGGTCAAAATAACAGGAGAGGAATATAAAGAACTAAGAGAGTGCTTTCCAAAGACAAATATCTTTCAATTAGTAAGGGATAGTATAGGTCTACAGTTTAGCCTTACAACACTAGGAAAGAGCATCCCCTTTAACAGCTGGAAAATGTCAAAAAGAGTCACGGGGGGAGGGGGGGAAGAGGTGTAAAAGGAAATTTAGTGGAGTCTAAGAACAACCTGGAGAAGGTGAGTTCTGTGGTTCACTTATTTATTTGTGTATGTGTGTGCATACACTTATATGGTGGTCAAGAGGACATCTTCTGGGAGTTGCTTCTTGTCTTCCACCATGTGGGACCCAGAGATTGAACTCAGGTTGTCAACCTTGGTAGCAAGCACCCCTACCCACTGAACCATCTAGCTGGCCCTATGGGTTGTCTCCTTTCACTCTGTGTGATCCAGGGATAGAACTCAGATCATAGGCTTAGCAGCAAGCACCTTCACACATTGAACTGTCTAACTGACCCCATACTTCTCTACAATGCTTTCCACTTAAAAAATATTTCCATATTTCACTGAGCAGCATGATCACCATTTTAAATGAGACACAAAATTAGAGCCTGGAGTTTGGACCACCAGCTGTATTATCTAATTACTACAGCATTATTGGAAAAGCAACTGAAGCACAACCAAACGAAATAACACAAGTGTAAAGAAAGCCAGCGTGGCCAGCACCTCCCACCTATTAGAATGAAAAGACGGTGGTGGGCGCACACACATCACTTACAAGGAGCACTTTGCTTTATCACACATCATCCAGCACACACACCCAAGCCTCCCACCAGAACTTCTTTGTAATTAGAGGCTCTCTCAGTGGAGCAGATGATTAGGCACATATTCACACCCACATAAGCATGGATCAGAGGAATGAGCCCCATAAACTGCACCCACACCTCATCTACTATAACCATCTCGGTCCATCACTTAGCAGTCCACCATTATATCCTCAGAAGTGACTCAATGGCTTCTGTCTCTAAAGTGTTCTCTCCAAATTCCGAAAATGAATTGTATGTACTTTTACAAGACTAAAGGTTATAATTTCAAGTGAGTCTAAGGTCTCAGTTTTAAAACTATGGTATCTTTATTTTATAGGAAAAACCAATTGTTTGGTTTTTTTTTTTCATTTTCTCAATTTGAAATTCATGCTTATTAGAGAAGGCTGAGCCAATGAAGTGAAAACCCAATTTCAGTAGAGAAACATCTTCAGCAGTCATTCTCAACTAGAGGCAATTTAGCATCCCTCTCAGGGTCATTTAGCAACGCCTCCAATTTTCTCCCTCCTATACTGGGGACAGAAGCCTGGGCCTCACCACTCAATGTACATACACCACGGCAGCCCTTGGAAGCATTTTTCATAATAATGGCATTTGAGTGACGAGAGAGAAGTACACTGGTGCTTGCTGACCAGACAGCCTAACTGAACACCAGTGTCAGTGACAGACCAAAGGCTAAGGAGGGCAATGATAAAGGAAGATACCAAGTCCTCCTCTGGGCTCCACATCCAGCTGTGCATATCTGAGTGCACACATTCACACAATACACCACACACACACACACACATACACACACACACTTGAACTATAAAGTTATCATGCAGGTTTGTTGTCCCCATTTATTAGCCAAGAAGCTTAAGACATTATCTCTTACATATAATTTTTATATATTTAAAACTAAACAGAAATTTATGGCTCTTATGATTATTACAATAAGAAAAGCTTTTAGGTTAATTTTTCAAATTTTGTAATAATGTATTTAACAAAAACTTTAAAAATATTTTAGAATCCAGGAGAAGAAAGTAAAGTGTCACTTCTACACGCACTGACCCAAGACACCCCTACTCTTCCCCTCTATTTCCTGCCATGCTTCTGGGTAGAGGTGGAGACTATGCAACTGAAGGTCATCATGAGCCTGAATCCATCTAGATGGTACCACAAATGCAGCCAGCAACCTAGCCAGTTCACGTGAAAGGGACTAGGAC